CTAGCGCAGCGCTGTATAGCAGAAAAATGGCGTAAATTGCAGTATTTATACCATAGTTTGTAGACGCTATAACTTCCACACAAAGCAATCAATATACACTTATTGGGATTTTTTTTTACCAAACACAAGTAGCAGAATACATTTTGGCCTAAATTTATAACCAACTTTGAGTTTACTATATATTTTTTATACCTGAAAGTAAAAAATATTGTTTTTCTTCAAAATTTTTGGCCTTTTTTTGTTTATAGCGTGAAAAATAAAAAGCACATAGGTGATCAAATTACACCGAAAGAAAGCTCTATTTGTGTGAAAAAAGGACGTAAATTTTGTTTGGGTGCAGCATTGCATGACCGCGCAATTATCAGTTGAATTAGTGCAGCGCCGAGTAGCAAAAAGAGGCCTGGTCATTAAGGGGGGTAAATCCTCTGGAGCTCAAGTGGTTAAAGGTGTTTTTTGCTTGGTATTAACCTTACCACCCTGCTTTTTGCGATTTCCTGCCTTATGAGGTGATTCTGCCCAGAACTTATTGGAGCCGCAGAGGTAAACCACATTCCGTTCATCCATCTATCCATCTGCCCTTCATTCATGCATCATCCATGATGATGCATGAATGAAGGGCAGATGTTGGTGATATAAGTTTGAATGGCGTTGCAGAAAGAGTAACTCCCCTAGATGCCAAGGGAACAGTTCCTCCAGTGAGGATGGGGGCAAGGTTTCAGAGCAGGATAAACAGATACTGGTGGTAGGGGACTCCATTATTAGAAAGACCGTGATCACAGAACAATGTTTACAAGCGTGGATTGTAAAGATTGTTGGGAGGGGATGGGGAGGACCCAGCTGTCATGGTACATATTGATACCAATGACAAATTCAGAGGAAGATGGAGCATCCTAAAAAATGAATTCAGGGACTTGGATGCAATATTAACTGCTTCCCCTCAGCCCTATAGCAGAAATACTGCTACAGGGCAGCAGGGGTGCGCAATATCACGTCTATATAAAACCCTGTCAATCACAGGGTCCCAGCAGGTGATTATTTGCCGGCACCTGGTGATCGCCGAGTATCTCCGACAGGAGAGAGACCTGTATGTAAACAATACAGATCTCTCCCCTGTCAGCTCCAGCACATGGCTTTGTATGGCTCTGCTTTTTTTCTCACAATTGTCGGGGTTTTTTATTTATAGTGCCAGAAATTAAAAACGCACAGGCGATCAAATACCACCAAAACAACGCTCTATTTGTGGGGAAAAAAAAGTACATTTAATTCGGGTGCAGCATTGCAGGACCGCGCAATTGTGAGTCAAAATGCAGCGTCATATTTCAAAAAATGGCCTGGTCAGGAAAGGGGGTAAATCCTCTGGAGGGCAAGTGATTAAAGAAAACATCTCCAAGGCAGTATTCTCAGAAATACTGCCTGTACCTCGATCCACAACGGAGAGGCAGCAGGATCTTAGGGAACTTATCAAGTGGCTGAGGAACTGATGCAGGAAGAAAGGTTTTGGTTTCATGGAGAACTAGGCTTACTTTTTAGTCAGTTACTCTATAGTTAGTCAGTTATTATATAGACTTCACATAAATAGGGAGGGTGCAGCGCTGTTGGGGGAGAAAATTGCTAGGAGGTTGGAGAAACCTTTAAGCTAGGTGGTGGGGTGGGGTGGGGTGTGGTGGGCTGGGGGAGAGATCCAAGTTAGCTACAGCTGACAATGTGCGAAGGTGAGAGGGTGCTGCTGGAGGCAACACTGGTAGTGTAGCTAGAGTACCTAATACCAAGCATGTATGTTGGCAAAATCCTATTGCAGCCTAAGAACAAATAAGGAGAAAAGACTATGCACTCATACAAAAATAAAAGGCATGTACACAAATGCTAGAAGTTAGGTCAATAAAATGGAAGAACTGGAACTGCTGCTACATGAGGTTTTCGACTTTGTGGGAGTATTAGAAACCTGATTTTACAGCTCATATAACTGGCTTGTCACTGTCCAGGGGTACTCTTTGTATCACAGAAACAGGGACGGTAAAAGAGGAGGAGGGGTGTGCTTGTATGTCAAGAATGATTTGCTAGTGAATATGAGGGTGACATTGCTAATGGGGCCAAGCAGGAGATTGTATCCTTATGGCTGGAACGTCAAGGGGAAGAAGCAAAAGGGAAATAATATTGGGTGTAGTGGGCAATAGTTTGGGCAGGCCATTCATAATAAATTTTCTTTTGCTCAACCAGTGGGTTGAACAAAAGAGAATTCATTAATTCCCCCATCCACAGATTCAAGGTGGATGAGGGAATCCACCCCTTGGAGTTATTGTATTCTGATGGCAGGGAAGCTTCCCAATACACTAATCAGCACTGCCAGCTATCGTCAACAGTACTGGTTGAGCTACAATTTTCCAAAAGGCTGGTTGCACAGAATTTGATCGCGAGATCAACTTCTGTACAACCAGCCTGCCCATAGATGTTTTAAAATTCCCTGCTGAACCGGCTGAATTTTAATCCAACTATGGCTTGAAGGATGAAGAGAAAGATGATCTCCTCTCACAGTTAGAAATGGTGGCAAAGCAGGGGCATGATATTGACTGAGCAAACAGAACTGCTCAGTCATTTAAGGCTTGTCATTTCTTAAATGTTTTGCTGGACAATTTCATGTGTCAGTTGGTGGAAGCCCCAACCAGAAATAATACTCTGCTAGACTTACCAATTACAAACACAGATCTGGGCAACAAATATAAAATAACTAAATCTAAACCTGGATGGCTAAATTCTTGTGTAAAAAGAACCTGTAAAACATTTCACCCCCCGATCAGCAGATCGCAGGTGCAATCTCAGGCGACTGCAGACTGTGAGTGCAGCTGTCTGCCCATACCTTGCTACTGAAGGATCAATGAACTACCAAGAGCGCTCACCAGCATCCTGGTAGTTCACTGAGAACTACAAGCCTTCACATGTAATGGCTGACAGTAGTTGTAGTTCTCCCATTCACAAAACTCTATTAATGAATGATGCAGCCAGGTAGGCATGGCTGTGTTTTTTTTTTTTTTTTTTTAATTGTGACAAGAGGTGCAGGGAGAGGTTCCCCCCAACCAGCTGTCAACAGGTGTTCGGGGACATGCAGGGGTGCTGGAACAGTAACATAGTACATGTTACACTCTAAATACGGGTGTAACATGTTAGGAAAGGTGAACATATTCTTTAAAGTCTGCTTTATTTAACAGCAATTGTAGAAATAACAGGCTTTATTTTCATATTACGATCAAGAAAGATAGGTGAAGGTTCCAATCAGTATAATGCATAGTCCAATATATATAAGTCCCAGGGTGTTCAGTTACAGCACACTCAGTATTTAAAGTCCCACTAAAAGGCAGGCTCACCGAGCAGGTAAATCAGAGACAGATTACTCTCTCCAGGCTGTATGCAGCTCCTCTCTCTGTAGACAGCAAAACAACCACACTCTCTGTTCAGCAGTTTAATAAGCAGGGCTGAAGGAGAAATAACTGCCCTTTACAATTAACCCCTCCTGAACCTGCCCCAGCCTGACTCTCCACAAAATGTTAATAGTTTATGGACATAAATCATCAGGACCAGATGGCTTACACCTGAGAGTCCTCAAAAAACTTTTTATAGCCGGACCATTATTCCTAATCTTTAAGTACAGCTTAGTGACTGGAATAGGAAAAGCAGATTGGTGAAAAGCTAATGTGGTACCAATATACAAAAAGAGGTCAAGATGTATACCTGGTAACTATAGACCAGGCAGCCCGGCATCAATAGTATGTAAACTATTGGAGGGGATGATAATGATCCAAGTATTTGCTGACAAAAATACAGTGGTAGTAATGAGCATGTATTTATGAAAGATCATTCTTACCAGGCCAACCTATTAACATTCTATGAGGAAGTAAGCTGTAATCTGGATAGAGGAAGGCCTGGTGACATAGTTTATCTAGATTTTGCCAACGCATTCAATACAGTGCCCCAGAAATGCTTAATTTACAAATTGAGGTCTGTGGACATTGACAATAGTGAATGTATCTGGATGAAAAAAACTGGTTACAGGAGCATGTCCAAAGGGTGGTGATAAATGGTGTATCTTCTGCATGGTCTGGAATTGTAAATGGGGTACCCCAAACCTCAGTCCATGGACCATTTCTGCCTATTTTGTCCAAAAATGATATAGAGGTTGGTGTAAATAATTAAATCTCCACATTTGCTGTTGATACAAAACTGAAGCTGGCATAGATGGGTAGACTTTCAAATTATAATTCTTGGAAAAAAGAAGGTTCTAAGTTTGTTTCCTAATCTTTAGTGGGTCAAATGGATGTTTGTTTTCGACCTGCACTGATGGACACTGACAGGCTGCATTGATGAGGTAGTACTGATAGGCATTGATGAGGCTGCACTGATGGGCACTGATAGGCACCACTGCTAGGTGTCACTGATGGGCACTGATAGACGGAACTGATGAGGAGGCACTGATAGGTGGCACTGATGTGCACTTATAGGCAGCACTGGTTGGCACTTATGGGTCTTCACTGATCAGTGCCCTGATTATCAGTATAGATGTCCCCATGAGAATTGCTGATTACCGGCTCTCTTCTCATGTTGTCACAGCGCGCGAGGAGAAGACTACCAATCACAGTGTAAATAGATTTGTGGGTTATCAGCTGTGACTGGACACAGCTGATCACATGGTAAAGGGCCGTTGTGATTGGCCCTTTAGCTCTCTCTATGATCAACTGTATCTGAAGGACACAGCGATCACAGAGCGCTCCCGAATGCGCTCCTCCATAGACACTATCCCAGAACCAGCTGACCACACTGTAGTCGTTTTTTTTGGCTATAGCCCAGTCGGAAAGTTAAAACAGAAAAATAACATCAATTTCATCAATCATTATAAATTTCATTATGCTGAATCTGTGCATTGTGTGTGCAGATTGGATGTACTTCTAGCAGACAAACTCACATCTTAGCTAAAATAAATACAGAAAATGAGAAATAAAGAACATATTTACCTGGCTTATATGGTGGGTTTGATTGCCCTGCTAGTATTTGTGACCCTCCAGTGAATAAGCTATGATAAAACACACCATTAAAATCTTAAAGGGAAAAAAGTACATCAAGTTAAGCAACTGAACATGTTAGCTTTAACAGGGTAAATCTTTTACATGTGTTTAATACTAGTACATGTTTTGAAATCAATTATTCTAAATATTACAAAAGTAGTTTTATAAAATAGCACAACATATACACCCTAATTTCTTTTGGAAAAGCTGATTCTCTATACAAAATGTAATGTGAGTATATAGCAAGTAAATTCTAAAGGAAAGAAAATAGAACTTCCCTAGCAAATGCCAATTTTGCCTAATGGGGGAAAATACTACAAAAGCAGATTAACCAATACCATTAATCAATATATTGCAATAAAATAATTACTAATAACTGTGGATTTATTTTGTTATAAGAGAAACATGCAGCCCTTTTTTTTTTTTTAAATTTTGTTATTGATTACTACTTCATGTGGTAGAACATTCCACAGTGTAACCATTCTTACATTAAAGACATTCTTTCCTCTCAGTGCAGATAAGATAACCTTGTTCTTTGTACATTCCTTGGAATAAAATTTTAATTTACTAAATAAAATGCACTGAAATAATTGGGTACCCTGAACTCCAAAACATGCCATTAGAAATATACAAAGCTTCTTAAAAGAAAAACATTCAAATGCATTATAGTCCAGCACCATAAAAAAAAAAAACAAATCAGACTAAAATATCACATAAACTGGGATTCCCCACATTCATGCAGCAACCGCTGCTAACTAGTGATTGGCAAATCTGCTTGGGTTCCATTCATGGGCACATTTAGCCAACATAAATCTGCAAAATACCAAACCTCAATGCAAATTGAATTCAATGGAAGGTGAATTGTTAAAATCAGTTCTCTCCATTTTCAAGGCTAATAGACAGGGGACTGTCAAAAAATGTCAGAGCTAGGCACTGCCTTAGGGAACATGTACCAAAGCAAAAAAAAAAAGTTAAACAGCATTCGGAAGGGAGCAGCTCTTTTGATTAAACATTTTTAAATAAAACATTAAAAATGCATATTTTCTTTAAATAACCTACTTGGGGATGCCTTTAATCTATTTTTGAACTGGCGCATCTGTATGCACACTACAGCAAAAGTGACTTTTACAAAAATGGATACCATATGCTGCTCAATGACATTTTCTGACAATTTCTGGTCTGGGCTGCTTTTAAAGACTAATAGACATGTGATTGTCAAAGAAAGGGTTGGGCACTCGAGAGAGAGAAATGTACCAATGCAGAACAATATACTGTCCAACAAGGAGCAACTCTTAACCACATGCCGCCCAGCCACTGTAGAAATATGGCGGCAGGGCGGCAGGGCGGCACGGCTGGGCAAAACCACGTTTTAAAACGTGTTTTTAAAACAGGTAGGGGGCGCGCGCGAGACGTGCCGCCGCCCTACCTGTCCCGCCAACCACAGCCACGGATGTCAGTCGCCGGGTCACAGCCGGTCGTTACCGGCTATGTCCCAGCGATTAGCGGCAATCAGTGAGAGAGAGCACAGCTGCAGTAGCTGTGCTTTCTGTCAGTTCCCTGACAGCTCCTGACACGCTGAAGAGAAGAGTTTATCTGTCCCGATCAGCTGTGTTCCCTGCAGTACACACCCCCACCTCCTAGTAAAACACACCCCTCACACAGTTAACCCTTTCACTGAATAGTTAACCCCTTCCTCCCCAGTGCCATTAGTACAGTGTCAGTGCTTTTTTTCTTTGCACTGATCACTGTATTGGTGTCACTGGGGATGTCCGTGACCCCAAGTCAGTTCCCCCCCAGTGTCAGAATGTCCGCCGCAGTCCCGCCATAAGTCGCTGATCGCCGCCATAAGTCGCTGATCGTCGCCATTATTAGTATATAAAAAAATAAATAAAAATCCCAGTATCTTTCCCACCATTTGTAAACGCTATAACTTTCACGTAAACCAATTAATTTACACGTATTGGGTTTTTTTTGTAGCAAAGACATGTCGCAGAATGCATTTTGGCAGAAATTTATGACTACATGTGATTTTTAAATTTTTTTTTTACTGGACTTGTTTTATAGCAAAAAGTCCAAAATATTGTTTTTCCTCAAAATTGTCAGCCTTTTTTTTTATAGCGCAAAAAATAAAAAACGCACAGGTGATCAAATACCACCGAAAGAAAGCTCTATTTGTGTGAAAAAAAGGACACAAATTTCATTTGGAAGCAGCATTGCATGACCGCGCAATTATCAGTTGAATTAGTGCAGCACCGAGTAGCAAAAAGAGGCCTGGGAAAAAAAAGGATGTCAATTTCATTTATGTACTGTATTGCGTGACTGCGCAATTGTCCGTTAAACTAGCGCAGCGCAGTATAGCAAAAAAAAATGGCGTAAATTGCAGTATCTATACCATAGTTTGTAGAAGCTATAACTTTCACATAAAGCAATCAATATACACTTATTGGGATTTTTTTTACCAAAAACATGTAGCAGAATAAATTTTGGCCTAAATTTATAACCAACTTTAAGTTTACTATATATTTTTTATAGCTGAAAGTAAAAAATATTGTTTTTCTTCAAAATTCTTGGTCTTTTTTTGTTTATAGCGCGAAAAATAAAAAGCGCACAGGTGATCAAATACCACCGAAAGAAAGCTCTATTTGTGTGAAAAAAAGGACGCAAATTTCGTTTGGAAGCAGCATTGCATGACTGCGCAATTATCAGTTGAATTAGTGCAGCGCCGAGTAGCAAAAAGAGGCCTGGTCATTAAGGGGGATAAATCCTCAGGAGGGCAAGTGGTTAATAAGGCTTGAAGGGCAACATGAAAAATGCACAATTGCTTTGAATAACCTATTTGGGAGATGCCTTAACATCACAATACCACATATATGTGGCATCCAGGAGGTGAGCTTTAACCACTTGACTACATTTACCCCCTTCCTGCCCAGGCCAATTTTCAGCTTTCAGTGCTATCGCACTTTCAATAACAATTACGCGGTCATGCAACGCTGTACCCAAATTAAATGATAATTTTTTCACACAAATGGTACTTTCTTTCGGTAGTATTTCATCACCACTGAGTTTTATTTTTTGCTAAAGGAACTAAAAAGACAGAACATTTTTTTTTAAAAAAAAGTTTTTCTTTGTTTCGATTATAAAATTTTGCAAACAGGTAATTTTTCTCCTTCAGTGATGTGCGTTGATGAGGCTGCACTGATAGGCAGCACTGATGGGCACTGATAGGCGGCAACGATGCACACTGATAGGTATCACTGAAGGGCACTGACTGCCAGCACTGACTGGCAGCACACTGATGGGCATGGATTGGCAGCATTGCTGGACAACACTGTTAAGCACTGATGGCCAGCACTGTTGGGCACTGATAGGCACTTTTGGGGCTGCACTGATTATCAGTGCAGATGTCTGCTTTGACAGTTGCCGGTTAAAAGCAGTACTTTCCTCATGCTGTCACAGCCTGAGGAAAGTACTGGAGATAACAGGCAAGTGTATTTTAATCAGGGGCGGACTGACAACTCATGGGGCCCCTGGGCAATAGAGGATCATGGGGCCCCTGTGTCCTTGCCCACACTCAAAAAAGCCTATAAAAAAAGGGTACCAGGGGCATTTCATGGGGCCCCCTACTGACCCCGGGCTTTCAGGCAGTGCCCGAGTGCTCGAATGGTCAGTCCGCCCCTGATTTTAATACTGGTCAGCTGTTATTGGACACGGCTGATTACATGGTAAAAGGCCGCTGTGGTTGGCCTTTTACCATGTCATGTGAACAGCTGCAGACACAGCTCATCACTGACACATGGGTGCGAGCCGCTGGGGGGGGGGGGGGCGCTTTCTGTGTGAACGTCATATGACTCCATCCCAGAACTGGATGATCACGCTGTAGCTGCTATTTGGCTATAGCGCAGTAGTAAAGTGGTTAAACCTGGACACAGCATATATGTGCTCCTGTGTTTGTACTGGGAGTGCACTGCACTGTGCACTATAGATCTGCTGACATTCTGCTTTAACAAGATGGGGATTTATGTCACAGACCTCATATGATTTTCCCTGATGGGAAAGAAACTGGAGTCATTCTCAAAAACTATCTCAGCTGCTGGCCTTTCTTTCAGGCCAGCATTCTCTTGTGCATGGGATACCCATGCCTGACCCATTTAAAAGGAAATAAAGGCCACAAAAATTGAAAATGTACGACAGATTGCAAAAGATAGCAGGACCAACCCCAAAAAATTCTTCAAATATATATAAAGTAGTAAAAAGGTCCGATCCGAGGATGTAGGCCCTTTACAAAATAATCTAGAGTGGGTGACTGGGGACAAAGAGAAGGCAAATTTATTAAATACCTTCTTCGGCTCTGTTTATACAAAGGAGCATGGGGGAGCACTTGTCCATAATGGGCATGGTATTGACACAGCTTCAGACGATCTACATTGGCTCACAACTGATATGATCCAAAAATATTTAGACAGTATAAAGGTGATTAAGAACCTGGACTGGATGACCTACACCTACGGATCCTTAAAAATTGAGCTCTGTCATTTCAAAGCCTTTCTAATTTTTAGGACTCTTTCATGACTGGCATAGTACCACTGGAATTAATGGTGGAGAAGGATCTGGGAGTTCTGGTAGATCACAAGCTTAATAATGGCATGCAATGATAAGCTGCGGTTTCTAAAGTGAGCAAAATCCTCTCTTGTATTAAGAGGTATAGACTCCAGAGAGATATCATATTACCCCTGTACAAATCATTAGCAAGACCTCATCTGGAATATGCAGTTCAGTTTTGAGCACCAATTCACAAAAAGAACATTGGGGAACTGGGGAAAGTACAGAGAAGGGCAACCAAAATGATAAGAGGCATGGAGGAGCTCAGCTATGAGGAAAGATTAGAGGAACTGAATTTATTCTCTTGAGAGGAGGAGATTAAGGGGGGATATGATCAACATGTATAAATACATCAGTGGCTCATATAGTGAACTCGATGTAGAGCTATTCATCCTGAGGTCATCACAGA